AAACTTCAGCTGTTAAATTAAAAAATAAAGAGGAGAAGAAAAGAACGGAGCTTTATTTACTAAAAACAAGTTCGCAAGTATTTTCTTCATCTTGCATGGAGGTCTTGTATTGCTATACGTACATACACTGTAAGTAATGAGACCCGCGTTATCTGGCCGTGTTACTAGACACCTGGCTGCTATCAGTGCCATGTTTGCTGGGTCAAGCAGGGCCTGGCGACCGCCATGAAAACATGACGTAAACTTGCCGTGTGCACTTCTAAGGCCAAAATAGGATGTGAATTGTTCTTGCACTCAACAGCACTCCCATAAGACCTATTGTTTCTCGGTAAGTGTATGTTTTTGTTCGATAAGGGTGAATTTTGGGAAAGGCTTTGGCTAACTGCCAGTCTTAATTTATAAATTTTTTTCTCGCTCCTACTCATGTAGCACGTGATGTTGCTGTTGCTTTCCTCCTAAGTCTTTCAGACGTAAAAGAAGTATCATTGCATTTAATGGACCGTGTCCCTTTTCCTTGTTACAGTGTACAAGGAAGCTCAACGTTTAACACCCAACTGACTTTCTGAAATTATACCAAAAGTTTCAGTCTGCTCAACGGCCTTCAGGGTACACGTATCTGGGTCATTAGTATGTGGTTGAATTATTTACCACAAACGGCGTGATCAATATTACGTCAGTGAGACACGCTGCAAAGAAAATCATTGTAGTCCATATCCTGAAAGTTACATTTACTCCCGTAAGCCATATCAAAGGCCCCCCGTATAAACATAAATAGAGATGTGTGTAAAAGCTTCTCCCTTTCACTTTGGATACTACTTGTACTGCGATTGCCATAGGACCGAAAAAAGTGTGGGAGTTATTCTTTGGTGAATTAAGGATAACATATATCTGTTCATTTTTGCTCAATTTTGATGTAATTGATCACCTTTAATATTTGACTTTCAGGGTAAAAAGGAAGTTTTAAGTTCCATGAATAAGTACCGAGTACTAGTATGATACTGCGTATAGATAGGTTTGCATAATAGGGTCTAATACTTAATATGTTATGTGTTATGGCCATTTGGTCATTCAGAAATGACATGAGATAAATGACGTATAATCTTAAGAATTTTATTGTTGTTTTATTTTGCCTCTCGAGTTACAAAGTCACTTAGCTCCATTGATGCCCGTTTCAAAACAAAATGTTAACAGAAAGTAGATGCATTTGTCGACTTCAGAAAAAAAAATATTACAAAACAAGATAGCTTTTGTTTTTTGTTTGTATACAGACTGTCATTGGCATTGGTTAATGACAGAACCATGTAACTTTTTTTACTTCTGAAATTTACAGAGGTTCACTTTTATAGGTGCGAAAGGGCCACTAGGAACAAACGTTTGCCTGGCACTTCCAACATTAAGTTGTCACGTTGTTCTAATTTCCTTTTTAGATATAATCTATTTCCCATTACTTTTTATCTTTAGAATTCTCTGGACTATATAAGTGAAACCGGGGACTCGGGACAAATATGACGACAGCGGCAATCGTCGCTATACTGTGGTGAGTTGATACACTTATAGTATCTCAGTGAATGTTATATTGTTTCTATGTAATTATATCTTATTCGAATACAGATACGGTGATGACAGGGTCATTTCAACCCGGAAAATTGTGAATTCTACAGATAATTTATTTTTTAAGTAATAAATTCTTAAAATAAGAATATTCCTATTGAGTTGTAACAACACAATTGAAAAGCAGACTACCTAATAACTCTATTCTTTATATAGTAAAAGCACCAAGATGTTACATTGAAATGTATTTTCATGACTCCCAAATATGAAAAAAAAAAAAAAATTGACATTTTTTCCTGGTTTAAATGACCGACCCATACCGTAGTAAGCTTACAGTCTCTGGATATTTTCTTGTTACCTACCTATGTCCATGTCATTGCTGGTGCTTTCCGTCACATACAGTCACACTTGTTTGACATTAAATTTTGCTTTGCTTTGAATTGATATACTTGACAAGTTAATGTGGCCAAAAGAATGCTACAGACGACTGAGGGTAATCTTCACGCGTTTGAACATACCCCACAACCATGTCTTATATGTTCTGCAAAGTTTCTCTTATCAACTAATTCAGACCCTGAAGACGACAAAATGCTTCAAACAAGTGTGCCTGAAGCGTATCTGGTGTCGTTGTTATTTTCTCAGACCTCTCAACTCTAATGTCTGTATTACACACGGCACAGGACCGCGATTATAAACAGTGTTTCAGATACATGTAGGAAATGAAAATTCCCCACTACTTCAGGAAAGTTCATGCTTTCTTTACCTTATCCAGGCCCGTAGCCAGGGGGGGGGGGGGTCGGGGGGTTCGAAAGAACCGCCCCTTTTGGCGAGAAAAGGTCCAAATTTGATGTAGGTTCATGAATTTTTTTTATGGAAAAAGGTCCACTATTTCAGAAAAAGAACCCCCCTTTTGAAATTGCTGGCTACGGGCCTGTTATCCTTTGTAAGTCAGTGCTGTTGTTTATTATGTATTGCTAGAACCGCGTTGAAACGATGTAAAGATTTCGTATTGTTTAAATTGAAAGGTGCCAGAAGTTCTTATAATTAAAGGTTTACCTAGCCTTTGAAAATTAATGTCTAAGGGTGTATTGTTATTAATATTATTATCATCATCATTGTTGTTATACATGTAGTTGTTGGTGGTGTTATTGTTATTATTTTTATTGATTGTGTTGTTATTGTTGTTGTTGTTGCATTGTTGTCGTTTAGGTGCCTCGTCACCGTGACCACGTCCTCTGGAACTTTAGATGAGTCTGTACAAAACATAGATGGCGACACGGAAGATGGCTATACAAATGTTTGGGCCGTGGAAATTGCAGGCGGCGAGGATGTAGCAAGGCGACTGGCACTAAAGCATGGGTTTGAGCACATAGCAAAGGTATACCACCGACTACAGTTAACATTAATTAGCTAGACATTACAGTAGGAGCAAATAAAAAGACTTTTAAAGTTAGTCATAACAGAATAAACGTAATGGCCACTCATTTCAAAGAAGTACAGGCAGGAGACTGTTCCATCAAATTCATTTTACTTGTTTTCACTTTTATTCAATTATTTTTTTAATCTATCTATTATACCACAAAAGAAAAAAAGAACAGTTCATGGAAAATACTAAAATAAAACTAACAGTAACTTATTAGAACTAAATAAGATAATGGATGACAGCATATAATAAAATAATGATATTTAATCTTTAATAAAGAAGCTGTTTTAAAATTTGTTTCTAAGCTAGAAGTATCATTTTATTCTACTGTTCCAGATATATGATGATTACTACATGTTTGAACACAAGGACGTCCCGGACTTTGATCGGTATTCCAGTGAAGAGAAGCATGGAACTCTTAGCTCCGATCCGGAGGTGTGGTTTGTACTGTAATTATTATCGTTATAAGTTACATTGCGGCGCCATTAGTAAATGTTTTAAGTTTGGTAGTGCATACAGACTGTATAACCACTAACGCGCAGAGTATAATCATAAAGAAAATGTGGCACCATCTTATATGTCAAGATCTTTTATAATGAAGTACCCAGCTAGCACTTGTATATTTCTAATTAAAAGCGGGTATTTAAAGAAAAGCACTCTGGTACAATGTAATCAGAAAAAAAAAAAAAATTACCTAAAACAGTGGATGCATTTTTAATGAAATAAAAAAAAATGTTTCACTTTAAAAAATATATCCGTTATCATTCTGGGCCAGGTAAAATGGTTGAAACAGCAGAAAGTGGTGAAGCGTTCCTTGTTTGGGCAGACTCCTGGAGGAACTTTGGGTGTACATGACGATAGATGGCGCGATCAGGAGTGGTACCTTGTAAGTGCCCCCCCCCCACCCCCGTCTCTCTCTCGAACACAAACGCCCACACACTGTAAAAATAATTTCTTTAAATCTTATTTTATTCGAGTGGAAAATGTATAAATGTAAACTCTCACTTTTATAACGAACGCTACGTATAGTTAGATTAAATAATATTCATTATTTATCCCTTATTTTCTATTATTTATTCAGAACAACACGGTGCTCGGTATGAATATCGTGGAGGCATGGGAACGTTGCCGCACAGGTCAAGGGGTCAACGTCGCCGTGGTGGATGACGGGATTGATTATACTAATTACGATCTCGCGAGAAATTTCGTGAGTTTTCTCCAATTTTCAAACACCACATAAACAGTAATGAAACTGAACACCTTTTTTCAGAATATAAACGATGTTGCTGTAGGACACTCTTTAAACAAAATTTATGGTTAACACTGTTTGTGCAGATTTTGAAAACAGCTCACTTATATGATTGCATGACCTCTGAAGATTAAGGAAAAATAGAGAAGATGGTAAGACATGTACAGAAGTGAAAAGGCTAAGCGCACTCAGATAACCCACAGAATGAAAACTTTCTTTTAAAACTTAAATTTATGCTTATCTTTTGGTTTAGGATTTGTTTAACAGTTACGACATGCAGGTGGATAGGAAAACCCCCATGCCGGGCATTGCAAGCGACAGGTGGGTTACCATGACAACAACACACTATCTCATCAGCACCCATCTATTAGTTATTGGTCGCCATTTTGCAATAGACTAGAAGGCGCCATGTGACCATGTGACCCGGTACATAACATTCTATTTGAGTTCAGTTCATTTACTCTGTGGCACTGCACTACATTTTAACGAGAGTTAAAAAAGTCTGCTTTCAGGCTTCATATTTCTTTGGTAGAAAAGGGTCGAGCCAAGTTGTGAATCTTATCTATTATCATTTTTTGTAGCCATGGTACCTCCGCCGCTGGAATAATAGGGGCTGAAGCCAACGACTTCTGTGGAGTAGGGATTGCCTTTGACGCAAACATAGCAGGTACGGCATTATCCCCAGTTTTCATACATCTAGCGTAGGTTTATATACCGGTAGGCCTACAAAAGAGACACTTATATATTTAGCATTTAGTAGTATTAAGTAGATAGACCTATAGTAAATGTATTTCATAACATTACAGATTAAAACAAATTGAATTGTTAAGATAGGATTGAATGTAAGGATAAAACTGGATAAAATGGCATATCAGAGTTGAATGTGAAAATTTGAAATGGAGTGGAGTGGAATAAAAGACTATAGCAGACCACTACACAAAATATATAAACCAGTATCATTGTGAAAGGGTCATGGTTATATTTGGTTGGCACACATTTCTTTCTTTTGTTATAGGTATCCGTATCTTTGGCAATAAACGCATCACAGACGCTCTGGAAGCACGTGCGTTGACCTACAACATGGAGACCGTGGACGTGTACTCTTGTAGCTGGGGAATGGCGCGGACAGGGTTCGATCTGAAAGCCATTGGTGAGCTGTCCAAGGGTGCCATGAAAAAGGGAGCAACAGAGGTTAGTGTGGGTCCCACGTGAGATCGCACGCATCAGTCCTTCCAGTATCAGCATTAAGGGAAGGGAGGTGATTTTGGTAGCTGTGGGGTTTGGCGGTCTTAAGGGGTTCAATTGCTCTGTGACATTTCGATTCTGCCTGGTACATGAAAATCCGCAAAGTGTGTATACATGTACCAGTATATTATATGTACCACATCTGTAAGAAACTGTCGTTTACCATATTTTGAATAGTAGCATATGACGAGCTATTACGATCTACTACATAACCTGTCTTATAGTATAACGTGTGGTTTTGCTTTTATCAAAAAAAAAAAAAAAACATTTTTTTTCTTTATTAGCTATGAAATTAAGCATGAAATAATTTTAAATAACACTAACATTGAAAAATTCATATAATTATTGACATGTATGAAACGGTGAATCTTTTGAATAAAAATCACTGTATATATTTGTTAGGGCCGCGGTGGAAAGGGGTCCATTTACGTATTTGCATCCGGTAATGGCGGCACCAATGACGACAGCTGCGCGTATGACGGGTTTGCAAACAGTATCTACACCATTCCAGTCGGCGGACTCACCCACAGAGGGCGCAAGTTGCCAACAGGTGAGAAGTGCAGCGCCATGATGGCGACGGCATACAGCAAAAGCAGCATGGAGCCGAACAGATGGTATGATAAGATAGTAAGTATCTTCAGTGACCTGGATTTTGATTGGATGAAAGCCTCACGTGCTTTTTTCGTGTCTTTTTTTTCTGTATTTAGGTCGCTATGGTAGCTCATACACGTGTGGAGAAGCAATCATCATCATAATCATGCATTTACGAAACGCCTGAGTAAGCTTCTTCTGGAGTCGCTATTCGTTGTAAGATTCAAAAGGAATTGTAAGAGGAAGTAATGTGGTTCCCAGGCGACACAAATAATAAATAAATAAATAAATAAATAAATAAGTAAATAAATAAATAAATAGATTACACCTTTATTTTTGGTTGTTTTTCCGGAATCGTCAATGTAAATTTTTATCTCCAGTTCACCACTGGGTACGGACAGTGGACGTGTGCAGACGACTTCGGAGAATCGTCTGCTGCAGCTCCAATGGTCGCTGCAGTAATAGCCTTGGCCTTGGAGGCAAAGTAAGTAACGTTTCCTTGAATTTTGCTCTTTTAAGATACATGGAAATGATAGACAATGATTGCAATAGATATTTTCAAGAGTGTCACATTTTTAATGCCTTGTATTATTGCATTGTTACTGTAGGAGGGTAGTAATGGTAGTGTTTGTTGTAGTATGTAATGGCAAATGGAAACAGATGCGCGTCTTAAAATTGATGAAGCGAATCAAATTGTTTTATAACATTTCTGAAAATAAAGGTCAGTGATTTTTACGACGTTTGGATTTATGAGCGAAACTTGAATTATCTACAGTGATATTGGATTTGCACAAAATGAAATAAAACTCAATGATCTCGACACACAAACAAGTGCACGTATATTTAACAAGCATTCAATCTTGTTCTTCTATCAGCCCATCTTTAACATCACGTGACGTCATGCACCTGATTACAAGAAGCGCCAGATCCGACTTTGCAAGATACGACCCTGACTCCGGGTGGTTTGTAAATGGTGCTGGTTTCCATGGTGAGCGACGTTAATGTTTAGCCTACATTGCGGTAGTAGTTTCAAATTTTAGGAATAAAGACAGTGCCATTTTCCAAACTGTGTGTCCTAGGTGAGCGTACAGAAGGAGAAGTCTCCTTCATAGTATGTCATAGTACTTTCACATACAGTATATGCATGGTTTAGTAATCTATGAGTGCATTTGACATAAAAATCAGCCTCCTTTACCATTTTTTCTTGTTAACATAATAGCCACTCGTCTCATTGACACAACAGGTCCGAATATATACAATCAAATCGTAGTTCTTGAACATTGTTGCTGTTTTGTTTGACATGTAACCCCGTAATTAAGACTAAGATGATTAAGTTGACTAAATACAGCTTATTGTTAGTAATATATGCCCAGTAATTAATCGAGAGAGAGAGAGAGAGAGAGAGAGAGAGAGAGAGAGTTTTTTAGTCACCATTCTGACACAGTAACATTTTGTTGCTCATGCTTCAGTCAGTTCCACCTTTGGCTTTGGGTTGCTGGACGCTGCAAAGATGGTGGATTTTGCTGAGCGGTGGCAAAATGTCCCCGAGCAGACAAAGTGCAGCAAACAGATGACGGGTATCAACGGGTATGTATCCGCTGAAATATTTCCTTTATTTAAGCATGAAGTAAATGTGGAATGGAAATGTAACGAGTCGACGGCTTTTGTTCTATGTCCGTTAAAGGGCGGAGCAAAAACAATGGGTGGCTGTCTACATGTACATACAAAAATGAAATAAAGGTAAATCAGCCGTATACAAATGTTTCACTATGCATCTGTCATCATACTATATATCTGTACGTTTTTCACGCGAAATCGGTTATCATTTTGTTCTTAGGCATTTTACATGCAAATAACGTGCAAATGAAATAAAACACAAATATGGCCCAAATCTATGTGTTGCATGACCATTTTCACGACCCAATAAAAACAGGGTTCGGTTTTCAAAAGAAAAACTTAATGCACGATTTAACTGTAATAACAACCTCACGTGGTGCACCCGTGATATCCTTAAACTCCCGACATTACCATGTATTATTATTTGTCTTAAAAAATAGAATAATTTGAGACATGAGAAAGATTCCAAGCGATTTGTTTTATCCAGAATCTCAGACTGTAATGCCGACTTTTTTTCTTAAATTGTACTTTTCTTAACAAAAACGAACACAATCCTTCAGAAAACTGCCAGGCACAACTACTGTCGACTTCAGGAGCTGTGATATTAAGTTCGTAGAGCATGTGGAAGTGTTCGTCTTCGTGTACTTTGCCGGACGCGGGTACGTGAAGATGGAACTGGAGTCTCCGGTTGGAACGCGGTCACTCATGATTCCCGGACGCAAAAATGACCTCTGGTCTAGGTGAAGTCCCAGTTACTCTTAACCATTCTTTTCATTGTTCCCGGTATTATTTCATTATGTTTTTATTAATTTGATCTTTCTGAAGTCCGAGGTGGCCAAACAATTCTGTTTTATGTGTATTTTGCAATACATATGGTGGTTAAATAAATTTTACTATTATTGTATTGGTTAAGTAAAGTACTATGGTGCAGATATGAGGGTAGATCCTCCTGTAATAATGAGATTAATTCATTATTTTGCTTCGAAATATCGTTATTGTCGTTTTTTCAAATTAAAAATCACCAACAATTTATCAGTTCTGGGTCATTTTATATAATAATGCCACTCAAGATCATATTGCCTCCGATATACTAAAAGTAAAACGGCTGCACTTTCGAAGTAAATAATTTAAAGTGCTCGCTTTCAGATTTCAACATATTTAACCAATCCAGTGCAAACCACAAAAATGTGGAGGTCAGTTTCAGGCCATCGTTTTATCCATGTGACTCTATGTTTAGGTACCTTGAGTTGAACGTGTCCAGTGTTCAGTTCTGGGGCGAGCAGGGCACAGGAGATTGGAAAGTCCATATTGGCAGCATCTATCCTGACCAAAACCACACAGGTGTGTGTTATGTGTCTGTTCGTGTGTGTGTGTGTGTGTGTGTGTGTGTGTGTGTGTGTGTGTGTGTGAGAGAGAGAGAGAGAGAGAGGGAAAGAGAGGGAGAGATGTAGAGACAAAAGAAGATAAAGATTTACTTTGAGTACCTACTGTGATTTTAACGAGGCCTAATAGTACCATGGTCAAATTGAAAGTGTTTTAATGTGAGCATGCGTTCATAATGTACTTGGATACAAAACATAAACGACTCACTGCTGACTGTTTTTATTTTGCTACTTCAAGGAACGCTGTTTGACTTAACCATAAACATCTATGGTACCAAGGAT